CGTTATGCCGGTTGATCTATTGTCATTCATTAGGGTAACAGAACGTCTACGTTCCAGTCGGATCCATGGCACTCTTGAAGTGGATTTATCATTGATCACTTTCTTTTCGGTCCTCATGGGATTCCCCAAGCATTGTTTACCCGGGGAACAACGACTCGACTCGGCTGAACTAGTAGCTACTAACACAGTGGGCGGCCTTCTTAGTGTACTTATGTACAGATCCAGAGCTATTGACATCTGTATAGGGCTATTTACTGATGAAAGTGTAAAGGAATTGATCTAACTCAAATAAGAGAAGAATGAATCGCGATTAGAATCAAATCGCACCTTTGGTTCTTGCAATGCCAACCCAGTCCGGGCTGAATACCCGACAGTGCTCTCGTAACATATTCCAGAAGAGTCTATTCATTGATGGCGGTCATCGGGAGGATCGGTACGCTTTACCAGCGTTATAGTAGGTTTCCGAAGAATCCCTTTAACCGGCTGTGCTGCAAGCATAGATTGATCCACATCGACCAACTGCTCGTCTGGGTCGTCGGCTAAATCGGCCCAGCTTTGCCGCGAAGCTACCGTCATCGCCTTGGTGCTATGAGAAGAGGTATCTCCGAAGTAATCGTAAACTCATGCACCGGCGGTGTTCCGCTCAGAGATTTTCTGCGATATCCTTTCCAGGCAACATATCTTCATGCGGCAAAAGAGTCGAGCCAACTGGCTACGAGACGGTGACCGGAATACTGCGTTCTTTCATCGGAGTATTCAAATTCGCGCTGGACCTTAAAAGGTCTCCAGATTCATGGTGTTTATACACAGGATTTTCAGGCTATTCGAAATCACATCTGATTTATTCTAATCGCTCTTCTCGGAGCGGCAGCCCAGGGACCTCTCTCTGGTCTGTCGCGTTATCTAACCTGTGGATTCAGCGATGCGAACCTGTATAGTATATTCCCCGAGAAAACTCTCACCTTCAAGTGCTCTGACTGAAAACTGGCAGGCTCAAACACTGCAGGGGCTCCTTAGAGCGCTGTAGCTGCAGGTCTAGCTCTTTATACACGTACGGCGTTGGCGAGGACCTGAAGGGGGAGTGTAGTAATAAAATGATCATGCACAGTATATATTGGTGCATTCATTTTGTGAATCACTTTTTTTGAGAAAACGAGGGGTCATAATTAGCGGATAGGGCCACGAAGGGAAAAACGACTTTCACTTACTTTTGGTTGAAAGCTTTCTTTCAAACCTTCTCAAGGGTTTCAGTAAAGCCTGTCTCAAACGATCCAACAATAGTAGAGGAAAACATGGGGGACTAAGCCCTTTCTTGATTCAGGTTGGCGCAGAAAGCACTCGCTTTAAAGACGGAAGAATGAAAGGTTTTGCCTTGCTTGCTGCTTGCTTACTATAAAAAGCGGTAATCTGACTTTAGATTCATTCTCAATCTTGAAAGACTAGGAATGAAATAATGTAGCTAACTCTTCTTAGCAAAGGGAAGCTAGCATGGGTAGCAAGCAAGTCCCAGGTTTGAGTTTGATTCTTATTCATTACCGTATCTCCATGAAGAGGAGCTTCTGCTAAAGGAATTGGTGATCCCTAGTAAGGGGCAACTAGACTTCGCACCAATCCATGAGTTCAAATATTCTTACTATAAAGTGAATCAATATGACGGATTTTCCTTTACTAGATGAAGTATACCACCAGTATGTTTTATTACTAATGTACTATTGAATTTTGAATGAAATAAGCAGATTAGTAAATCATTAAATAATATGAATTCTTATCGTCATATACATGAAGTATATATATTGAATTGCTGTGATAATGTAATATCCTCATCATTCTTTGATAAACTCAGTCTTGCAGGTAGAATATATCATATTAAGCCAGGTACCTACGCTCCTTGTTTTATAGGTCAGGTTTAATTAGATAATAATGGTAATATAGTAGTAATTTACGAAATGAACTAGGGAAATAGTAGGAATCTCTAGTTGAACGGCTAGCTGATAATCGGCTAACGCAGCTTTTCAATGGCCGGTAAGCGCATATAGGACGATCGGTGGCTGCCGGAGGTTATACTGCCTTTTAAAAGCTGAGCTTCTGACTGCGTTGAGTAAGAACTTGTTGAAGTTACGTGGTAAAAAAAACTCTACTCTTTATCCGGCTAGGGTCAACGGCACATTTTAGACTAGCCAGGGTAGCAAAGAGCTTTCAACTCCTTTCCCTTCTTCTTTCTATATTCCCTTATGGTTTATGGTTGACTCTCCGAACAGTAAAGAGAATCCCGTGTACCGTGCCTCTAAGTAGTATAAGGAACTCACTAGGTAAAAAGGTACGGTACGAGCAGAAGCAAATAGAGATAAAGAGAGTACGACGTTTCAGAGATAGCGATTCGGCTTAGTTCAAAATAGCCCTAGCGTGGTATACTTATTGTATAGGGGAAATATTCTTGACCCGGGAGAGACTACTTTATGAATCCATTCCGATCTCAAGTGAAAGAAGCCGCATAACAACA